AATAAAATCTGTCCTTTGGCAGATCCTGAAATTACCATCCAGAGGAGGAAACTGGGGAGAGTGTGTGGGAACGAAAGCCTGAGCTGAGTCGGAGGACACTTTTAATGTATCCCTGCTTCTTTGTTCCTCTTCGGCTCTCAGCCCCTTGCCTGAAGCATCCAGCGCCTATCCTATCAACCATTTTTCTCTTCCTGAAGAAAAATCCTTCTAATGGGATAACTTGAGTCAAGTACTCCATTACATTACAAATATTAGACTTAAAATTCCCCAGAACTGGAGCTGGCAGCTCACTCTTGTCATTTGTTGGTGAGCATTCCACACAACAAGGCTCAAATGTGAAACAGAAAAAAGAGAGAAAGAAAGAAAGGGAGAGAGAAAGAGAGGGAAGGAGGGGGAAGGGAGAAAGAAGGAAAGAGAGAGAGAAAGGGAGAAGAGATGTAAAAGAAAGGCCTATGAGAGTTATTTTAAAGTTTATATGGATAAGAACTATTCTCCTATTGAAAGAAAATAGGTATAAATGTGAGTGAAAGTTCATGGCAGTGGGGATGGACATTAGATTTTTAACTAATTGACAGCTTTAAAAATAAGCAGCAACACATTCATTATAATTGCACTGACAAAGTCATGTAAATGTCACAAAGAATTTGCCATGAAAAAAATTATGACCATTTAGTATCCTAAGTTCATACATTCTTATACTTGGGAAAGTGATGAGACATTAACTCAACTCTAATTCATGAATCTCCTTGTTAGTAGTTGTCCTCCTGCCACACACACCAAAAAAAAAAGTCCATTAGAAATCATTAAATAGTGCATTATAAGGTGAGGAATTATTATAATAATAGTCTTTGTATGAAAACAATAGATAGCTTGATCAAATACTGATGTGACATGTCCTAAAATCATCACTTTTTGAGGACGCTGTTACTCTCCCCATTTATAGATGAGGAAAGTAAGGTTAACAGGGGTACTTAACATCACACGGCTTACTAATAAGAGACCTGCTTGACTTTAAAATCTAACCTACCCAATATCAAAGCTACTGCTATCAGATATAGCTAATATCAGACTATCACATGTATCAAAATTAATTTTCAATGCTTGAAAGGTTTTAAGTATTTTTCTTCGCGTGGAAAGAGTTTGTAATCAGCCTAGATCCACCCAAATACCTAAAATTTAATTTCACAGAAGTGCCCTAAATTACAGTTTCTTAATATTTGTAATGTTCTTGTAAGTAACTAAATACCACTTACCTATCAGACAGTACTGTTATAGTATAGAACATGGGTATATTAAATAAAAGAAGAATTTCAGTAAGATGTTGAGAAAATAAGGCTGATTAGACTGGAGAAACATTTGGTTTCTTTTATACGCATAGCTGTGGACACTCATTTTTACTGTGTCTCTGAGTTGGGGTGTGGGGCTGGGAGAGGAGGGCTCGGGGCTCACGGATTCGCGGAGTGATTGCGGAGTTTTGTGTGTGCTTCGGCTTCCCACGTGGCTCGGCAGTAAAGAATCTGCCTGCAATGCAGGAGACCTGGGTTGGAAAGATCCTCTGGAGTAGGAAATAGCAACCCACTCCAGTATTCTTGCCTGGAGAATCCCATGGACGGAGGAGTCGAGTGGTCTACAGTCCATGGGGACACAACTGAGCACCCACAGCACAGCATGTGCATGCATCTGGGTTTTGTGTGGTTAGGTGGAAAGACAGAATATATCAGTATGAGTGTATTCACAGCTAACTCTTCTCTGAAATGCTCTAGATTTTCCCGTTTCTTCTGTGTCCTGGGTAAACGTTGCCAGTTGTTAGAAAAGAAATGTCAATATTTGCCAAGGTAAATTAATCTATGTGTTAGGTGCTTATGAACTATTTTATAATTGTATAGAATTTTAAAACAATGATTTTGCATGTCTAAATAATATCTACTCAGATGTTGACCTTAAGATATAATGGTTTCGAGGATTACCACTTGTGAAATAACCTACTTAATTTGTTTAGGGCCTCATAATATAGACCATAGCATTTCTGCTGATCTAAAATCTTATGAGCATGAAAATAACAAAATTACTACTTATAATAGGTCCTGTCTTTCTCTGTTGGGCTCCTAAAACAACTTTCTTTTTCTGTGATAAGCTATTTGTGTTCACTTCATTTTGCTTCATTTTATTTTTGTCACCTTTGGTGTGCTATCTTGGTGTACTATGATGGAACGACACTGAATCAGACAAGCTGTAATTTTTATTGCAGGCATATCTCATGGCACATTTATAAGCTGAACTTGATATTAGAAATGAAGCTAGAGGGAACATGCCTTTGTTCTAAGTTACAAAATGTTCTGCTATTCTGAATTTGAAATATGTTGAAAATAAACTGCCTCTTTCTGACATCAAGAACGTCACATAGGAAACCTATCAAGATGTTGCTTTAAAATTTCTGAGTGTATAAAACAGTTTGCCAGCTAAGAACCTGTATTATAATTCTATATTCACATTTAAAGCTAATATTCAAAGTGATACCATGGCACAAAAATTTGCTTGTATTAAAGATCCAAGCAGTTGGTTTCAATTTTCTTTTCATGGAAAGCTAAGAAGGAGCATTAATTTATTTAACAGTATTTTACTAGTATGACTATTTGAGCAAACCAATCACATATTTAAATATAGGCATAAACATTTTTTTCACCAACACGCTATGATCTTGCCAAGCGGAAACCTTTGGAAAGTTATAATCGAGATCGATTGCCAGAAACTATGGGGCAGAAAGTGGCCAATCATATCCAGGGAGGGTTTCTGGTGAATCCTAACATGGCTTTCTCTAGTCCTAACATTACCTTCAGGTTCTAGAAAGCTCAGGCTGGGTATAACTACCTAACTTTGCTCTTCCATTTGTAGATACTGAATGAATGAAATCTGCTATCATAATCTTTATTGACAAGTTTCATTTCTTCCCCCTGTGTAACCAGTTTAAAGCACATCACTATACATTGGGAAATATGTTAGAATGTTAGTTTTGAATATAATTTTACTTCTACTACTAGAAACAGTAGTAAATAAGAAATAAACTGTTCTTTTGAAACAAAATTCTTATTGCTATACTAGTACCAAGGTAATTTATGGTACGTTCCAGCAGCAGAGGCCCTGTCACTCTTAACTGTGGGCAACTCAATTTTATTCTTGCTTCTGCCCTCAATTATTTATCTATATTGTCACTTTTTATTTTACAAATGCAGAATTATCTCAATAATTGTAGGATATTCCAGAAAATTCTCCCCTTCAAATAGTCAGTTTTACTTTCTTTATTTTACCTCCTTCAAGGAATGAGCAAGCAAAGGAATCTGTTCTTACTTCCCCTTGCTGCAGCAGGGTCCCCAATAAAGCTTTGTTTGCAAAAAGAAAAAACAATAGTAATTTTTAAATTCATCTTTTTATGAGGCAGAAGTGTAGAGCAAAAAGGAATTACCATAGTTTCTCTCATTTCCATAGAGTAGATGATACACATCAACAACGTAAAACTCAATAAAATGCAGGCTAAATTTTGCTGAAAGTTACCATTAAAAACCGGCACAAATATTCCTTTAACAAACATGGCCCATAATGTATTGTTTGCAACACAATTTTGCACATGATGAAAATTTGTGACCTGCAAGGGTATTCCCAATACTCTTACCCAATGCTAGTGTTGCTTGCAAAGACCCCCAGGAAATCATTAGCAAACTCCATCTAGAAACAGACCAAAAGGTCAGAGGTATACATAATATGACATTCATGGCCCATGGTTTTATAGGGCTGTGGGTATTTGTTCTTGTTCAAAATATGGTATAGTGCTTCAAAGCATCTGCTCCCATTCTTAGAGGTTAGTGAATTTGAAGCATGCCAGCATCTAATTTTAAACAGTATGCCAAAGACACATATTTGTTCTTAAATGTCAGTCATTAGAGTGGGGTGCCTACACAAATTCAGTGAGTTCCAGTGAAGTGGTAATTGGTTCTCCAAGTTAGAAAGTATAAGTGTCTTATTAGAAACTCAAATATAAGGAAATTGACCATCAATTTAGAGACGAATAACCTGGGACAAGTAGATACCGTCTGTAACTTACAGATTGATTTGAAAATCCTGGAACATTATTCTGTAAAAGAGAAAGCTAAAAACATATTCAGCTTTGCAGAAGCATGAAATTTACTCTATTTTAATACAAATAGAAATCTCTCTCTCTCACATACACACACACACACACACACACACTTAAAGCAAATCTAGCAAAAATAAATAAATAAATATAGAGATACAAGTCAGCATCTTGCAGTAGAAATATGGTTTTCGGAGCTGGTCAGATCTACATTTGAATTCTGTCTTTATCCTTCAGTGGCCGTGCCACACTTAGCTAATCCTCTATTCCCTGTACCTAAGTTTTCTGGTCTATAAAATAGGTGAAATAGTTCTGAACATGAGGCATTGCTGTAAGGATAATGTATGCCAACTGCATAGCATATATGGAGTAGTCACTCAATAAGTAATGACTATTACAAATACTAGTTTTTAAGTATACACCTACCCAAACATGTTGTTTATACAAACTGTAATTATTTTATAAAAATGTTGAAGCCTCGTCACCTAAAAGAACATAAGCTTAAAGCTTGCAACATACTGAAATTTTAAAAAACTATATGATTATATAGCAATATAATTTCATGTTTCTTTGCTTTGATAGCGATTGCTTGATTATTTTTTTCCCTCACAGCAGGGGGAGAAAAATAGCCTTGCTCTATCACTCGAAACTTCCGCCTTTCCTTTAGAATGATTTTTGTCTTCTTGTGATCCATGTAGGTTCTATACACCCTTACAGCAATTCTATTTCTACATTATATCTTAATGTTAAAAAACAACAAGGGAAAAAACAATTTGACATTTGTATTTATGTACATTACTTTTTGCTTCCTTTATTTCCACTTGAAAGTATTCAGTATTCTGTCTTGTGTCTTTCTGCTCTCCCAATAATCAAGGTCTCTCCAGGACCTTTCCAAGCAAACAGATATTCCTTACGGCACGGTCCTGGACTCTGCAGTTTATGAGCATGTTCGCATGAAAGGAATGAATCCTTTTGAGAGGGACAGCATGTATTCCCAAATGTGGCGGATGATCAACCGGAGCAACGGATCGGAGAATAACGTCCTGGAGTCCCAAGCAGGCATTCAAAAGGTACTGGCCATAGTTCTGCACTCGTAGTCTACCATTCTGTCCCTAATATTGGAATTGCTAAACTGAGGTTGATACTTCCTTTTTGTCATTTTAACTTTGACATAGAGTTTTCAGTTATGGCTTCCCAGGTGGCTAAAGTGGTAAAGAGACCACCAGCCAGGAGATGTGGGTTTGATCCCTGGGTCGGAAAGATCCCCTGGAGGAGAAAATGCAGGAGTTTTCTGTTGAATTATGCCTTTTATTGGTTTAAGAAGATTTTGAGGTGACTCACTACACCTGTAGAGGGAATTCACAGATTTCTGTGGCATGGCTAAGGATCTTTTACAACAGAATTTCAAAACTAGAAAACATGAGCTGATATTTTGTTCAGAACAAGGTCAGGGATTATACACATGAAGACTGGAAAAGCTTTTACAAATTCAATTCTAAATATCATTCAGGTTATCCAAGTTTTTCAAACAACTCTGGTTGTTTTCTACACTACATTTGTTTTTAGATGAAAACTTTATCTTATGATTATGTGAAGTTCTCTGTGAGTAAAAGTTAATCTTGTCCACAAATACGGTTTCAATGAATGTGTTTCTATTTCCATAAATGAAAATCTTTATTAATAGCTTATTTTTATAAAACCATCATTTAGAAGTTATTTTAAAAAACACAGAGAGCCATCCTTTGTATAAAAAGCATGAAGTTAATTTTTATTCTGGGCTGTGGCTTATAAACATGTACATGGAAGTAATTCTTTCTTCTTCAGGCCCCATCAACCTCCATGAGAGCACTGAATGATTTTTCTTTAAAATCATCCCAGCGGCTTTCACAGTGAAAATCACAAGGGCTGACTTTCAATAAATAATTATGGGATGAATGAATGAATAAATGTGCAATAACAGCATCAATGGTGGTATATACTTTTTTCTGTCACCTTTCACAGCATAATAATTTGAACTCCAAGTCTGAGTTCCTTGTTTAGAAGGCAAACTCAAAACTACCTTGTTGGAAAATGTTTTGTTGACTGTAAACATTATTCTGCCATGTGGGTGTATCAGTCATGTCCAACTCTTTGTGACCCTATGGACTGAAGCCTGCCAGGCTTCTCTGTCCATGGGATTCTCCCGACAAGAATACTGGAGTGGGTTGCTATGCCCTCTTCCAGGAGATCTTCCCAACCCAGGGATCAAACCTGCGTCTCTTATGTCTCCTACATTGGCAGGTGGGTTCTTTACCAGCTGAGCTACCAGGGACCCCATCAGTAAGGNCATTCAATCATCCAGTACTTGCTAGTTAACAATTATGAATCAGACACTGAGGTAAGAACTGGAGGTAAACTCGACCACAGGGGAATGCCTGGATTCATGAAATATAGAGTCTGATGAGACAGATTGAGAAGGAAACTAAAATACATGATCAAACAAAATGATTTAAAATATGATAAATGCTATCAGAAAGACAAATAGGATGCTATTGTAGAAATTTGCTTGAGAAGCAGTAATCAGTAAATTTCCTAAGGCTATAAGATATTAACTACAATCTGTCTGATCAGGAGATGGTCATGTGGAAGACACGATGACAAAGCACTCAGGCAATGCTTAGCATAAGCTAAGGTCCAAAGATCCATTCAGAAACCGATTTAAAAATCTACATGAAGTGGACACTGTTGAATGAGAAAAAGTGGAGAATGAGGTTAGTAGGCAGGGGATAGATCATACAGGACCTTGCCTGTGGTTAAGAACTTGAATTTTATTTGAGTTTTTAAAAAAAGATGTAACTGAAATAACAGAATGTAATGGTTCATTTTTATTTATCAAGAAGATCATTATAACTTACATGTGGGAACCAGGTAAGAATGGAAATAGTGAGACCATAAGAAACTTGTAACTATCTAAGGTAGCCAGCTAAATTAACACCTTGTTTCATTCCTATGTTCTTATACACACACACACACACACACACACACACACATACACACACACTATTACCTGTCATTCTTTGTATTATTATAAACTAGTTTCTTCTGACATCCCAGTATTTCCAAAATAATATATAAATCTAGAGATAACATCAGTTGCTACATAGATGCTTTGGGTTAGTCACTCAGTCATGTCTGACTCTTTGCAACCCCATGGACTGTAGCCTGCCAGGCCCCACTGTCCATGGAATTTTCCAGGCAAGAATACTGGAGTGGGTTGCCATTCCCTTCTCCAAGGGAACTTCCCAACCCAGAGATTGAACCTGTGTCTCCTGCATTGCAGGCAGATTCTTTATTGTCTGAGCTTTAAGATATATTTATATATCATTTAAGGTCTTCAGTGTTCTTTAAGAAAACCTCTTCATTTTTAAGTATGTACATATAATTTCCTACATTTTCTGGGTTTTTAAAAAAAATTTATGCTGTTTAACTATGGGTATATGTAAAACTAAACTGTAAATATTTACACTAAAAAAATTCCTATCCAAGATTCTATGAAATAGAAGTGTTTTAGACTCAGCTATTGACAGTTTTGTAGCATGTGCTATGAAATTTAGTTAATTATTTTTAGGATTTCATATTTCTTTTTCTTTTAATACATAACCGTTCCATTGCTTTTCAACTTGGGCTTGTGTTTTTTATACTGTTGTTAAATGTCATACTTTTTTTTTAATCTGTTATGAAGAGTGGAAAGAACTCTGATCTTAGAAAAAAACTCTCGGGTTTTATTCTTGTTTCTTCCAGTTCTCAGTTCTATACTTTGGACAAATTACTTGGTTTCTCTAAGATTTACTCTTCTCATCTGTAAAATTATCACAATGTGAAAATTAAAAGCCTGCACTTTGCAGGCATACAAATAGGTTTGAATCCAGTTCATTTTTTAAGTAAAATGTGTAAATGTGATTAGTTACTTAACATTTCTGGGACTCAGAATTGTTGTCATGATATTAAGAATTTCTGCCTCTTATGGTTTTGATCATTATTAAATATATATATATACACACACACACACACATATATATATATGTAGAAGCATCAGTAAATAATATGATTAGAATAATAAACTCTTAAGATGATTCTAAAGTTTACATGAAAGAATGTATATGTGAGTGATTTCTTATTACAAAGAACTATGATTTGGTATTTCCTAAGATTAACCTAAAATTATGACATAATAGGAAAAATGCCATAGAAGAGGTAGAGAACAATTTTTGTTTCTATTCTCTGATAGTCTGCTGATAAAGACTGCTTACAAGTTTAAATATGCCAATCAAGTCCCCAAGTATTTATTACACCCCATATATTCAGTTTTCTGATATAGTAGAGGAGTAGTGAAGAATGTTCTTATTAATTTATAATGGGAAATATCAAAGTGAAATTTGCTTATTGTCTACATTGCTTTCAACCAGTATCAGATACAGCTGAAAACTGATTAGACAGAGACTGCTACTGCTAAGTCACTTCAGCTGTGTCCGACTCTGTGTGACCGCATCCCTGGGAATCTCCAGGCAAGAACACTGGAGTGGGTTGCCATTTCCTTCTCCAATACATAAAAGTGAAAAGTGAAAGTGAAGTCGCTCAGTCGTGTCCAACTCTTTGCAACCCCATGGACCGCAGCCTACCAGGCTCCTCCGTCCATGGGATTTTCCAGGCAAGAATACTGGAGTGGGGTGCCATTGCCTTCTCCGAGACAGAGACTAGGTAGTTATAATAAAATGTATTTTGGTTCAGTTTTCAAGGTCTTAGCCAGCTTTTATTAAAACACAAAATCAAACCAACCAACAAACAATAACCTCTTCACCTGCTAAAGCTCGCTGGGAGTTCATAAGTTTGAGAACTATAACACATGAAATGTTTCTGATGGATTCTTCCTGGAGGAACCAGTCTTGCACATCTCACACAGAAACTCCCTGTTCTCTGCCATTGATTTCTAATTTGTACAGGCAGAAAAGACCCCCAAGGTCTTATATGTCAATATTCCACAAAAGGCCAAACTTCATCTATAGTATATTTGACAGGAATTCATATATATAGTAACTCCCTACCAGAAAAGCCTGCATCACTATGAAAACAATCCTCCCAATCTAATTGCAATTTTAAATGGATCCCATTAATGTCTTAGTTTGTGCTTTTTCCTAATTGTACTACTAGTTTCATTGCTTTTCTTCAGTTCAGTTCAGTTCAGTCTCTCAGTCGTGTCTGACTCTTTGCGACCCCATGAATCGCAGCACGCCAGGCCTCCCTGTCCATCACAAACTCCCGGAGTTTACTCAAACACATGGCCATCGAGTCAGTGATGCCATCCAACCATCTCATCCTCTGTCGTCCCTTTCTCCTGCCCCCAATCCCTCCCAGCATCAGGGTCTTTTCCAATGAGTCAACTCTTCGCATGAGGTGGCCAAAGTTGGAGTTTCACCTTGAAGGTAAATTCTGATCCCTTCTAACAGCTTTGGTCTGCTTATACCAAAGATACCTGTAAAAATGAGGGTTAGGTAAACAAGTTCTAGTCTGCTATTCTTCAGAGGTGTTCACCTGTACCACACTCACCTAATTAAACTAGAACAAATGTGTTTCTGCCTTCCTCTTCTTAGGACTTTTTGCCTAAGCAGGAAAAAATGTGATTTGAAAAATATAACTGGAGTTTTTTTTAATAAATTCATCCAATAGTTATTTATTGAGCATATTCTATGTATCAGTCAGTGTTTGGGTCTTTGAAATGAACATAAATGAAAAAAAAATGCCTTCATGAAGTATACATTCTAGTGGAGAAGGCAAACAATAAACCAGATAAATAAAATACATTGTATTTCAGGAGTAATCACTGACACTGGAATAAATATTAATACATAAAGTAAGTGAGGGGTAGAGGTAGAAGAGAAATATACACCTGGATAAAGTTTTTCCAGGCATAGGGTCAGCCAGTGCAAAGGCCCTGAAGTGGGAGCATGCCTGGATGTTCTAAGATTGTGAGGGAGGCTAGCATAGCTCCAGAAATGCAGTGCAATATTATTAACTATGGTCACCATGCTGCACA